TCACATCATAATTTATTATTGTACTAAAGTAGCTTTAAACATATTTGCATTATTATATCACATCACTATTATTATGTATCATCAAATTTATTTTCAATTACTTTATTATTGTAATTTATTTACATTTTTTAAATACATTTTTTATTATTATTTCACATCAGTATTATTATTATATTATTTATTTCATATAGAAAAATTTACACACTCTATAAGTTATATATTATTATATTATTTATATATTATGTCTTGTTAAATAAAATCAATATAATTTTGTCTTGGTTAATTTTATTTTTTTTAAATACATTGTGAAGATCATGGTTGTATGTTGTATGTTGCACGTGGTTTTCCATGAATAATGAGAAGTATTGATTGCATGCACTGGGAGTGGAAAAATTGTCAAACTGCTTGGAAAGACCAATTTTCACGTGGAGATCATGGCAAACCAACTATCACATTACAAGTTGTGGCATCGTATGATTTATGGATTTGACATTCATTTTTCGGAGCACCAGGTACATGCAATGATATTAATGTACTTGATCAATCTTCAATTTTTAATGATACGTCGAATGGTAGAAGTCTAGAAGTACCTCGTCGTCTCCATTGTAAAAAACCGGAGACAAGGACCATCATCGAAGTTATGCCAAGCCCCACAGAAGCTGGTCGAGGCCCTTCCATGAATAAGAAGGAGCCATCCACGTCAATCGAAACTCCGACGAAACACGCGTAACTACATCTGCAAACGAACTTCCACCTCGAACACTGGCAAGAATGAGTGGGGGGCCCTAGTCTGATGTCCCATCAGGGCTACGACAGTAGCTGTTGGAGAGGAAACGACGGCGGTGACGGCCTCCCTTGGCTCAAGTCCTCTCCGGCATCGATATGGCGGCAATGAGAGGTAATGGGCAGCACCACTCTTGGGTTTTGAGACCCTACAAACTCATTGAAACCATTTGATCGACCTGAGACCGCCTAGATTGCCGGAACCAGAGGAGGCGATGTGGATCGTAAGCGGCCGCCGGCGATTAAGGACTGTTTTGAGACGCAGGACGGTTCAATGGTTATTTGGGACAAAAATTACACTTGCAATATATGTTTGGCGGTTAAATGATGGACTTGGCCAGAATTTATGGGTCCACGAAATTGTCGTTCCAAACCCTCCGCTGCCGGTGAGGCATTTTCCGGTAGTGACTAGTTCTGATTAGGGGTTTTTTGGGATGGGCAGGAGGATGAAGAACAGCAATCGGCGACGGGACGTCCATAAACGCATAAACGGCGAGGGCCAAAATCAAGAAACTCCGGCGAGTTTATGAAAGAAGAAGAAGATAGATACGTAACTGATTGGGCTCCACCTTTATGGGCTAATAATTTGATCATCCAATTCAACCACAGTCCAACCTACAGAATTGTCTGGAATCATTGTTATGTTATTCTCTCTCATGTAATCTCTGCTACCACTACAATTTTACACAAAGTTTGTTAGGAATTTTTCAAAATCAATTGTATATAATATGTTTATCAATTAATGGATTGGATATACAAAATTTTACCTTGCTGCTGCATCTAAGTGTTCTGTTCTTCTATGTGCTTTTTCTTTTTGCTCTGTAATTCTTCATGGTATTAGAGCTCAGCTAAGCTACCGTTGGTCCTCAAATAGATGACGACGTCAATAGCCATGCCTCTTCAGCCACATATGTAGCAGATAATGTAACACAAGCTGCTTCTGAAGCAGCTGCTAGGATTGCTGCTCAACCATTGCTAACCAAACACCTATCCTCCCCAAAGCCCTACAGATTGGAAGTGGAGATCAACCACACATATCTTTATCTTATGTTCCTTTCAATGGAACAAACTATTTCTATTGGAGCCACAGGTTGTGGAACGCTTTTGTTGCTAAAGGCGGGAGTGGATTTCTCACAAGCAAACAATCGAGACCTATAGAAGGAACCATAGAGTATGAAGCTTGGATTGAAGTTGATGCCTTTATCAGAGCATGGATCATCAACTCCATCATACCTGAGCTACAAGGAGCCTTTATTTTCATCCCAATTGCCAAATCCTTATGGGAGAGCCTAAAAGAAAAATACGGGCAATCAAATGGCTCTCTCATTTATCAACTCAAAAGGTCTATTAGCTCCTTAAAACAAGGGGATGACTCCATTGCCACCTATGTCACCAAACTGCAGGAGCTGTGGGAGGAGCTACTCACCATCGATCCACCACTGGAGTGCACCATTTACAAGCCATAAGATACTGGATAAACAAGAAAGGGATATTCTAATCCAGTTCCTCACTGGATTAAATGAAAGGTACGAGGCTGCAAAAGAGCAAATTCTGATAATGGATCCATTACCAAGTATGAGCAAAGCTTACTCGCTAATCATCCAAGTTGAAAAGCAGAAAGATATTCATATTGCTGCAGAGCATAATGCATTCCTAGTAGACAACAAAAGAACACAAAATAAGAGGTTTATTGATAAGAAAGATTGCAGACAGAAAAGAAAACGTCCATTTATGAATATTGCAAAAAGAAAGGACACACTAAGAAGACTTACTTTAAGCTAAATGGAATACCTCTTTGGTACAAATAGATGGTTGAAAAGAGAAATGACTTTGCCAACACAGTCTTAAAAATGAAAGGAGTTAGTTCAAAGCCTGATATGGTCTTCAAAAGTTGTCCAGATATTACTGCCTTGGTGAAAGCTGAAGTCCAGAAGCTGCTGATGAGCAAATCCCCAGATTCACCAATTGCTTGCACCAACTCGGTTATTGAGTTCTCAGGTAATACACTATCTTTTGACTCTGCATATTTGGATAGTGATTCTTAGCTAATTAACAGTGGAGCTACTTGCCATATATGCATAAATGATAAGTTGTTTGAAACCTTAAAGCCTTTAGCCTCAAAGCCCAAAATTTTTATGTCCCAATGGATCATTTTAACTGTTTCTTATGCAGGAACTGTCAAGCTAAGTTCTCATATCATATTAAATGAAGTATATTACCTTTCTGCCTTTAAATACAATCTTTTATCTGTAAGTGCTTTACTTAAACAATCTGTCTGCAAACTCACCTTTTTATCTGACATCTGTGAAATTAAGGACCTGAGCTCTAACCAAGTTTTGGCCATTGGGAAACAAGAAAACAACCTTTACATTTTAACCAAAAAATTCTTCCCTACCAATCACCTTACCTCCGTCCTCACCTCAAGAGAAGAATCTCTACTTTGGCATAGAAGGTTTGGACATGACTCAGATGATACTCTTAAGCACTTACCTATGTCCATTGTTTTTAAATGTAAACCATGCGACATTTGTCACAAGGCTAAACAAGCTAGGTTTTCCTTTAATGGAAGCGTCTCTTATGCCATATGTAATTTTGAACTTGTGCATATGGACTTATGGGGACCTTACATAACACCGACCATGAGTGGATGTCACTATTTCTTAACCATTGTGGATGACCACTCAAGAGATACTTGGACATACCTCATACCAAACAAGCAAAATGTTTTTCAAATTATTGAAACCTTTATCCTCTATGTCCAAACTCATTTCAATCACACCATAAAAAGAATCAGGACTGATAACGATTCTGAATTTCTAAACCAGCATTGCAAAATGATATATCAAAGATTTGGCATCATGCATCATCATTCCTGCCCTTACAGCCCACAACATAATGGTAAAGCTAAAATAAAACACAAACACTTTCTTCAATTAACTAGAGCCTTGCTATTTCAAGCAAACTTGCCATCAAGATTTTGGGGCGAAGCCCTCCTATATGTTACTTATATTCTTAACAGACTACCATATTCTGTTCTTGGTTGGTCTACCCCTTATGAAAAACTTTACATTACCAAGCCTGATCTATTCAATCTAAGAGTATTTGGATGTTTGTGTTATGCTGTCAATAATAAACCTACTAGAACCAAACTTGACCCAAGAGTCTACAAGTGTTTGTTTCTTGGTTTCCCAGTCGGCCAAAAGGGTTTTAAGCTCTATAATATAGAAAGAAAAAGGTGTCTTACTGCTAGAGACGTTGTTTTCTGTGAAAATGAGTTTCCTTACCAATCTGCTGTTAATCCTGCAATTCCTCAGCCAAACACTGATCTAATATATCCAAACCAGCTTCCCTTTAGTCACCCATTAGGCACACCCACTCTACAACCAACACCAAATCCAACTACAGCCAAAACACAGAACCTAAAACATTGCCACCAGTTACATCATCTTCATCACCCATCTACCTAAACACACCATCCTCCTTCCCTGATTCCACAACCAACAACCCCATATCTACCCCTATATTGACTTAATCAATCCAAGAAGTCCTACCTGATCCAGCCTCTAATTCTTTCCCATCCACTCCAGCTAGACCCAAAAGACAAATCAGAAAACCAACCTGGATGACAGATTATGTTAGCCCTCTTGCCATCCTGCTTTCTAGCTCTAACTCATCATCTTTATGTATTTGGCATAGTGCCTTTACTGTTGATATGCAGGAACCAACATCCTTTGTGCAGGCTTACAAAGATGCTGGCTGGAGAGCCGCTATGGAGGAAGAACTTGAAGCTTTACACAAGAACAATACGTGGGAAGTCACTACATTGCCCAAAGGAACAAAACCAATCTCCTATAAATGGGTGTATAGAATTAAGAGAAATGCTGATAGAGGAGTGCAAAAATTAAAAGCTCCGCTTATCGCAAAAGGATACTTACAGATTCCAGGGAAAGATTATAAAGAATCATTTGCACCGGTTGCTAAAAGTGTGACAGTGAGGATGTTCTTGGCAATAGCTTCCACCAAGCATTGGAAAGTTCACCAACTTGATGTGAACAATGCATTCCTGCATGGCTACCTTGAAGAAGAAGTTTATATGACACCACCTCAAGGAAGTCACATATCTCCAGGGAAAGTATGCAAGCTGAACAAATCCCTCTACTGACTCAAGCAAGCTCCTAGGCAATGGTACAAGCAATTTTCTGCTAAGATTGTTGAGTATGGCTTTCAACAATCCACATTCGATCATTGTTTGTTCACTTTATCTCATCGTCACTGCATTATTGCTTTGTTGGTATATGTTGATGACATTCTTCTCACCGGCACTGACTTTGTGGAAATCACAGCAGTCAAGGAATTCCTTTTATCAGGAGTTTACTATTAAAAATCTTGGAGAGTCTGATCTGTTCCTTGGTATCCAGATCACAAACACACCTGCTGGTCCCAGTGTCTCTCAACAGAAGTTCATTGATGACATCCTTGATGAAGCTGGTCTTCGTGATGCCACTCCTTGTGCCACACCTTTCACTATTGGATGCAAATTACAGCATGATAAGGGTGATCCTTTACCAAATCCAGAAAACTACAGACGCATTGTTGGTCGCTTGCTCTATCTCACAATGACTAGGCCGAACATTTTCTACGTTGTGCAACAACTCTCTCAATTCATGGCATCCCCGATATCCCTACATTGGAAGGTTGTGCAAAGGATTCTCAAATATCTCAAAGGTACCAAGTATCTTGAACTTCTTTTTCCTTCTACTGGGGATCTCAATTTGGCTGCCTACTCGGATGCTGACTGGGGATGTTGCTTAGATACCATAAAATCTCTCATTGGTTACTGCATATGTCTGGGCTCTTGTCTTATTTCTTGGAAGACAAAAAAGCAACCCACAGACTCTAAATCCTCCGCCGAAGCCGAATATTGTGCATTAGCTTCTACTGTGTCTGAACTACTTTGGCTCACCTATCTCCTCAGGGATTTTCTCATTCAGGTGTCCCTGCCCATACCACTTTACTGTGACAATCAATCCACCATTCATATGGTTCACAATCCGGTGCATCACGAGAAAACCAAACACATTGATATAGACTGTCACTTTGTTCGGAGTCACTTCCAATCTGGACTCATCGAACCTACATTTGTGCCTTCCCACCATCAACTAGCTGACACCTTCACTAAACCTTTGTCTTCTGCAGCTCTTCAAAAGTTTCATGTTAAGATGAACTTGGGCTCCTCAATCCAAGTTTCTCTTGAGGGGGGAGTGAAAAAAGAAGAAGATGGATTCGTAACTGATTGGGCTCCACCTTGATGGACTAATAATTTGATCAGCCAATTCAACCACAGTCTAACCCACAGAGTTGTCTGGAATCATCGTTATGTTATTCTCTCTCATGTAATCTCTACTACCACTACAATTTTACACAGAGTTTGTTAGGAATTTGTCAGAATCAATTGTATATAATCTGTGTACCAATTAATGGATTGGATATACAAAATTTTACCTTGCTGCAACATCGGAGTGTTATGTTCTTCTCTGTGCTTCTTCTTTTTGCTCTGTAATTCGTCATGGTATCAGAGCTCAGCTGAGCTACCGTTGCTCCTCAGATGGACGACGACGCCAATAGCCATACCTCTTCAGCCACATATGTAGCAGATGATGTAACACAAGCTGCTGCTGAAGCAGCTGCTAGGATTGTTGCTCAAACCATTGCTAACCAAACACCTATCCTCCCCAAAGCCCCACAGATTGGAAGTGGAGATCAACCACACCTATCTTTATCTTCTGATGAGATCGTCATTGCCGTTTTCTTCTTGTTATTATTCTTCAAGGTTTTCCGTTTCATTCGTCTATGCCAAATCTTCAATGGCACATCATTATCCGTCTTGTCTCTCTGATCGATATAGCTAGCTACAAGCGCATCCAGTCCAAACTCTGAATCAAATTGTATATTTAATATAAAAAATAATATCTGTAAATACTACTATTTTTATAGTATTAAATATACAATTTTTTGAGATATTCTTTAATCTTTAAACCATATATTTTTAGTATTTGAACTCTGCATTTTTTGAAAAAAAAAAATATAGTTATGCTTCAGTATTTGAACTCTCGTAAAAGAAACGATAGAATAAAGACGCCCTATAATAAATGTTTAATTTATCTAAGTTATGCTTTAAGTGGACTGATTGAGGACAACAGTTTAGTTTCAAAATTAAAAATATTTTAACATTAATTTACTATCATATCATAGTTTTGGGTCAGACTATCCATATTTTAGTGGGCCGGCCCAATAGGGGTTTGGATACTCTGTTTTATGGGTTGTGAGAGGAAAAATATTGTGATTCTTCATCTCAATTTCTAATGTTTTTCTATCTTAAATTTCTCAAACTTTCTTATATAGAGGGTGGGTTGGTTTGTTTAGTATTTTGATTTGAATTTTCTTTTATATATGTATAAAGTATAAGTAATCATGTCGGTAATATAAAAATAATATTTTATATTAAATATTGACTTTTATGAGTGGATAAAATATATATTAGAAGTCGTATTAAAAAAAAATTGTGCAAACACTTTTTTCAAATAAAAATACAAAACAAATACACCTTACGTGTTTCCAAAAAAAAAAAAAAAAGTTATTTCTTCTCCCACAAAATATTTTATTAAATATTATTTAAATAAAAAATCTAAATCAAATTTTATCAAACTAAAACAAAAAAAAAAAAAAGAGAAAATTTCATATATATATATCATGTTGGCGAGCTATGTTTCCTTACTTCTTGTTTTATTTTTTGTTTGCTTTTTCTTTAGAAGTATTATTTTAAAAATATATATTGGTAGTAAAAAAATAAATAAATTATTATTATTGTTTTCTATAATATAATTAAATAATTATTAAATTTAATTTTTATATAAAAATAATTATTATTTGCTATAATATACTTAAACAATTATTAATGTAATTTTATATAATATCTTAAATAAATATTTAATATAATTCTTTTAAAAGTAATTTAACATGTCTAAACACAACAAAAAATATTTAAAATACAATTAAACACACACAATGTAGCTATTAAATTTCAATATAATATAATGAATAAAAAAAATATCTGACTTAATAATTTAAGAAAAAAATTAAAATAGTAAACTCAATCCTAAACCCCCACAATAAAAATATAATTAAGTTGACCATAATATCTGCATGAAATTATTTTTATTTTTATTTTTTTTCTTTTTCAAGAATTTTAAAATTAATGTACAATATGTTGAGAATGATTCAAAGAATCAAAGTAGGTAACTACTAAAAATAGAAAGTGGTTGAGGAGTCAATAACAAAGTTGTTAGTTTTATCCCTATTTTTCTGCATCAATTTATTTAATTATTTTAATCTACCTGTTAAAATACCTATGTAAGGTTGCTCTGAATTATCAATAAAACAGAGACGTTTGTTTAATATAATCTTGGTGTGTTCTTGTGATCTGTACCTCCAACATTTCTGGTATCAGAGCCAAGCTTGCAAACTTAGGCTCCTCAATTAGCCTATTGAAAATGGCGTCAAGCAGTATGAATGCTTCCTAACTACAAATCCTCATCTTCAAAGGTGATACATATGAGTTTTGGAATATCAAAATGAAGACCTTGTTCAGGTCACAAGATCTGTGGGAATTTGTTGATAATGGACTCTCTGCAACAAATAAAGATGATAAGGAAGCAGTCAAGAGAGATGCAAAAGCCTTATTTCTCATTCAGTAAGCCGTCGATGAAGCAATTTTTTCACGGATTGCAACTGCAACTTCAACAAAGAACGTATGGGATATCCTCAAAATTGAATATCAAGGATCTGCAAAGGTAATTACAGTAAAACTGCAATACCTCATAAGAGATTTTGAAACAACAATCATGAAACCTAATAAGGCGATACAAGACTATCTTGCTAGGATTTCGGCTATTGTCAATCAAATGAGAGCATATGGTGAGAATGTGGAAAATGTTACTGTTGTGTCCAAAATCTTAAGGAGCTTACCCCCTATGATCATGTAGTTACAACAATAGATGAGTCTAAAGATCTATCCACTTTCACAGTGGATGAACTCATGGGCTCTTTACAAACACATGAAGTCAAAATTAACAGAACTGCACAAAAAGAAGAAGAACAAGCCTTCCAAATGCAGGGGGAGCAAACATGTGTAGCATCAAACTAGTGCAAAGGTAGTGTTACGTCTTGAGGAAGGGGGCATGGATGGATGAATATGATTCAATGCACTCATTGGAAACGTTATGGGTATAAAGCGAATGACTGTTGGAGTAAAGAACCATGCACCTACTGCAACAAGTACGGACAAAAGAAAAAGATTGATAGAGTAAAGATACGCAAGTGCAATACACAAGAGAAGAAGACTACTTATTCATGGCGAAGATAGGCCCTCAAACCTTCTCTAATGAAGTCTGGTTTCTTGAGAGTGCATGCTCAAACCACTTGACAGGTGATAAGGGAAAATTCAAAGAACTCGACGAGACACATAAATCACATGTCAAACTTGGGGATGATAAACAAGTTCAAATTGAAGGAAAAGGAACTGTTGCTATCAACATTGGTGGGCAAACAAAGCTAATTAAGAATGTTAACTACGAGGTTTAGCTCATAATTTGATAAGCGTAGGACAGTCGGTTGACTCTGGATAACCTGTGACATTTGAACAAAATGTTTGCATGGTCAAGAAAAAAAAATTGTTGAAGTGCTTTTGGAAGCCAAAATGAGTGGAAATAAAATGTTTCCTATAACCTTTCTATATAGGAGAGTATAGAATGATGAGCAACAATTTCAGTGAATTTGAATTATGGGACCATATGGTCATCTCAACCTCAAGGGACTACAGTTACTTGCAAACAAGGGAATGGTAAAAGGCTTACCAAATGTCAAGGAACTAACACATGTATGTCATGGATGCGCCTTAGGGAAGCAAGCAAGGAGATCTTTCCCTATAGGACAATAAAAAAGAGCTGGAGAAAAACTAGCATTAGTCCATGCTGATATTTGTGGTCCAATGAAAAAAAAATCACATGCTGGTAGGAAGTATTTTCTACTTTTTATTGATGACTTATCAAGAATGTGTTGGGTATACTTTCTCACTTGCAAATCTGAATCCTTTAAATGCTTTAAGAAGTTCAAATCATTAACAGAGAACCAGATTAGTCAAAAAATTAAGGTTTTGAGGACTGGCAGAGGAGGAGAATTTTGTTCAACGGAATTCAATAAATTCTGTGAAGCATATGGAATTAAAAGGGACCTTACAGCTCCTTATACTCCAGAGCAAAATGGCATAGCAGAGCGCAAAAATAGAACCATAGTGGAAATGGTTCGTTCTATGATTACTGCGAAGAACTTGGCAAATGACTTCTGGGCTAAAGCAATCGCTATTGCTATTTACTTAATCAACATATCTCCGACGAAAGCAGTATGGAACAAGACACCTTTTGAAGCCTGGTATGAGTTTAAACCATCAGTTAATCATCTTCTCATTTTTGCCTCTTTATGTTATGCTATGATGACCACTATTCGTTGGTTACAACTCAAATTCAAAGGCATACAAACTGTTTGATCTAGAAAAATAACAAATAGTAATTAGTCAAAATGTTCAATTTAATGAGAACTTGTCGTTTGAAAGAGATGGTGCAACACAAACTTCCATCCAGAAAATGATTCCCTTTGAAGAGCAGGAAGAAGATCATGATCTAAGCAAGAACCCTCCAGCATAAGGTAGTAGCAGCACCACACCAAATCCTAAAAAAAGGTCAAATGGTTGAAAAGACTTCTCAATAGCAGCTGCCCAGAAGTGCTCGTGGTTTAATTCCTAAACGCAGAGTTCAGATTGAAAGTGGTGATGATGATGAAAGTGGTGAGGAGGCATCCGATCAATGTGATAAGGTTGATAATGTTGAGACCTGTACATTCACACTGGTTACAGAAGAACCAAAATGCATTGAATCTGCAACGCAAAGTGATGTATGAAAGCAGACAATGAATGAAGAATTGCTAGCCATAGAGAAAATGGATCTACCATAAGGAAAGAAACCATCAGTCTGAAATGGATATTCAAGATTAAATATCATTCATATGAAAGTATTCAGCGGCATAAAGCAAGGTTAGTGGCGCGTGGTTATGTGTAGGAATACTGAGTCGACTATTGTGAGACATTTTCTTCAGTGGCCCACATTGAAACTGTAAGACTAATTCTTGTTGTTGCGGCTATATATATGTGGACAGTTTTCCAATTTGATGTCAAATCCGCATTCCTAAATGGGGACTT